GCTAGTTTCTGTTTCACTTAGTTCTTTTTCTGGGGTTTTGTACTGTTCCCTTGCTTGGAAAGTATTCCTTTGCCTCCTCATTATGCCTCCTTCTCTGTGTTATTTTCTTTGTGCTAGGTGAGTCGGCTATGTCTCCTGATCTTGGAGAAGTGGCCTTATGTATGAGATGCCTTCTGAGGCCCAGCAGTGTGCTTCCCTCTCGTCACCAGTCCATGAGAACTAGGAGTGACCCCTTTGTGGGCTACTTGTGTTCTTCTGCTGTGGCAGGGTTGCTCCCACTGCAGGTACCCAGGGAGTCTGATCTTTCCTTCCCTGGCCAGCTGTTTGTAAATCTGGTCTGGGGGCGCCTCAGCACTGTTGGCTACAAAGTCTATTAGCACACTCTTATTGCAAGTGTCCTCTTAATTGGGTTGGTACCCAGTGTAGCTGGTTGCTAGGCTCAGGGGCTACAGTTGTGATAGGCCTGAGGCCAACAAGGCTGTTGTCAGTTCTCTTAGGAGTGCAGCTGAGTGGGGCTGGCCCTTGGCATGGGGGCACTCAATTGTTTCAGGCTTTGGAAGGTGGGGCTGATCCTTTTTATGGCTATTTGTGAAGCACAAGTCTTCTGCCACTGATAAGCCTCACCCTCCACCAGACCACATACACTGTCAACACAGTCCTGGTCCATGCACACTTCTCAACCCTGTGGAGTGTACCCCACCACCACACTGCAGAGGCCCCCTCTTCTCCCCCAATACCACCCACAGTTCATCTGGTCCTCACACAGGCCCTGCCCCACAGAGGCAGACACCCTTGGCTGCCAGTAGAGGATCAAGGCACTCAGTCAATGCAGGCTGAAAAGTAGACTGAGGGCTTGCTGTTAGGTGGGGCCAGTCCCTAGGGCGGGTTGCCTGCCCTGGCTGAACTGGATTAAATCTGTGCTCTAGTGGGTGTGGCAGACCCCTGGGCTAACAGCCCAAGGAATGCACTTCAATGGCTCCCACCGGTGTCCGCATCAGCACGCCTGGACCAGCTCAGAACAATGGCCCCCACCAACGTCTCAGACTCCGGAGAGGACCCTCCTCTCACCAAATGCCCCCAGAGCCCACCAGGTGAGTCTCGTTTCACCAAAGGACAGTCAGCCTTCTCTCTGGTGATTTTAGGTTGCTGCAATGAGTGAGTTTGTGCGTGGGCCCTTTAAGACCCAGATCTTTTCAGCTCTCGGCTGATAGCTTTTTTGGGGGTGTTCTCGCTGCAGTTATTAGCCAGCAAAGCCAGACAGTAAGACCCTCGTCTCAGTTGGGCTGAGTCAGAAGGATGGTTATAGCAGTATTGCCCCTGCTCCGTACCTCACTCCTCCAGGGAGGGCTCGTACCTTAGGGTAGCCCCGGCCTGGCCAGCTGAGAAGCTCCGCTGCTCCCAAAGGTGGCTTTTTTCCTCTCTGGCTGGAGTTACTGCCTCTTCTGCCTTCATCAGGACTGTCCCTTGTCATGGGGGTTCTTTTTATCCAGTTTTCAGTTTTCAACCCGGGGTGATTCTTCCCGAAATTGTTGTAACCTAGTTGTTCATGGGAGGAGGAAAGTTCAACATCTGCTCACGGCGCCATCTTGACGAGATCCCCCTATTTTTTCATTCATTTACTTGTTCATTGTCTGTGTCTCTCTCTAGATTATAAATGATGAGATTAAGGACATTTTTTGTTGAGCCTTGTATTCCAAACACCAAGAACAATGTCTTACACAAAGAAAGGTTTCATAAATATTACTAGTGTGAATGAAAACTGAAAGTGGGATGTCTAACTATTTCGAGTGGAGAGGATGAGAATATTGGCCATTATACTTGCAACTTCATACTAGGAACTTATGGGTCAACACAGGTGAGACATTAGGGCAAAGATGAGCTTGGAGTATGGGTTAGACTAAGGCAATCATCTAACAAAGAAGTGTAATTCAAGGGGAGTAAAACATTTGTAGGATCTCCAGCAACAGTGGTGGAAGTGTAAGAAGGAAGGAGATTTTAGGCAACAACAGCAAATAAGGTGGCAGCAGAAGCCCCAGGCAGCTCAGCAGAATTCTGATTTCTTTCCCTTCCTCCTGATGCTCTCAACCTTGGCAGCCATGTCCCTGGGGGCTCAAAGCCCTAAAAATACCCCCAAATGTTGCATCGCTGATTGACATTCCCACCCAAATTATTTTTGGCATTGAGAAAGTTAGGTCTCAAGACCATTCCCTGAAACCTAAATGGTCTTAGGCTTGTTCTGGAATATTCACTGAGAAGAAAAGAAGATAACCTAAGCATGTGAGGAAGATTGATGCCAGTAAGATCAAAGAACCTTCTCCTAAAATATATTGTTCATTAAACCCAGTTCAAATATTCACCAAGTACCTATTATGCACCTAGACTAGGAATACCAGCTCTTCTATCTCTGTCTTGGCCTGGATAATTGCTATGAGTGGCAGACTGAGCCTGTGAGTAGATAAAAGTGTGAGATAGGCCCAGACAATGAGACACGGCAGGCACTGGTGTCAGTCCCAATTGTAGGTGACAAAACAGCATGGTAACCAGGAGCATGGGGACAAAGACCACTACCTGCCCAAACAAAGACCTAGCATCAGACACAAAAAGAGGGATCTGTGTCCTGAAATGGAACCAGTGCACAGTAATGGGGATTCCAGAAAAGGCAATAAATCACCAAGCAGAAGGCAGGTGGCACTGGGCCAGGACTCGGACCCAAGAGTTTTGCGATCTAAGGGGTGGATATGAAGGGTAGAATTAGTTAAAATAAGGCACAGCTCAAGTACCGTTGAGTGATTCACTGTACATGTTACCAATGCAGGAACTGTGTCAAGGATAGGAAAATCAACACATGAAACTTTTCACAGTGAAGACGCCTGGACCAGCATAGGGAGGGGTCGACATGTTTTCTCTGCCTATGAGTGGCTGGAGGCAGGGCCAGGTACATGTTTCCATAGGAGATCATTATTAGGTAGTGAGGATCAACATTCCGTCAGGGCAAGCTTGTAAACAGCTCTCAATGCCAGCGTGGCAGTAACTTACTGTTTTCCAATTCTATTCTTCTTGAGATAGCTATTCTTTCCTTCCTTAGTAAAAGAACCATGATTTTATTTGGGACAACAATAGCTCCAGTTAAAAACTACATTTCTCAGCCTCCCTCTCAGCTATGTGTAACTAAGCTGGATGTAATATTTGTCCCAAACTGATGGACTGTTCTGTGGGATATCCAAGAAGTCTGCACGAGCTGCTTCAGCTGGGTTGAGAATTTTTTTCTGTATACTTTGTCTCCTTTCTGTCGGTGGCTATAAGTATTAACAACCATATTGGACCACGAGGGGACTTTAAGGCCAGAAGTTATAAGTGGAAGACAGACTAAGAACTGTGTAGAAAAAGTGAGCGAATAGGCCCCAGATGAACAGGTGGAGCTGCCATACCAATCACGATGTGCCTTCCTCTATATCTATTTTCTTCTTTTTCTGCATGAGAGAGAAATAAAGTTTTGTTTCAGTCACTGTTTAACTTGTTTTTTTCATTATATGCAGCTTTCCCTAATCTCAATTGATACAGACAGGTTAAGGAATAAGGTGAGCAGACTCTATGGGGGGACCTATAATCTCCATCTCCTGGTGTTCATGGCCTTATACAATTGCCTTCCCTTGAGTGTGGGCAAAACTTGTCACTTGCTTCTATTTAGAAGAAAATGGCCAAGGTGAAGGGGTATCACCCCTATGTCTACGTTACATTTAGAAGACTGTGTCTTGCTGGCAGATTCACTCTAAAGACCACCTGCCTAGATAACTTTGAAGAAGCGGCCATGTTGGAAGGCCCACCTGGCAAGGAGCTGAGGGTGCTCTCTAGGATCTGAGAGTGAACTCCATTCATCAGCCTGCAACAAGACAGGGTCCTCAGTCTTATGACCAAAAGGCAATGAATTCTGATGACAATATGAGTAAGCTTGGAAGTGCATTCTTCCCCGGTCAGCCTCCAGATGTGAATGCAGCCCAGCTAACACTTTGATTGCAGCTTTTTGAGATCCTAAGAAGCGAACTTAGTTAAGCTGTGCCCAGCCTTTGGGCCTACAGAAACTGCGAGATAATGAATATGTGTTCTTTTAATCCCCTGAGTTTGTGGTAATTTGTTATGCAGCAGTATATCACTAACACAAGGATTCTAGTCTTTATCTGTGGTTCTCAAAATTTTTCATGGCTGAGGTTGCCATAGTCTACTAATTTATTATTCCGTTATCCCACAGAATGTGTCTATGTGGAGTTCACAGTTACTTGGTTTCACATATAATGTGAAAAATATTAAATAAGCAGAAAAAAGTAAAGGTGTGATCTTTACCCCCAAGAAGTCTATGAAATGCTTTTGCGTGCTTACTAACGCCTTCCCTTGCCCCTTCACCAAATGTGGGCAAGAAAGTAGCCAGGGCCCGTTCAGTTTCCTTAGAACAACAGCTGAGTGAGAGCCTCCTTTTATTGGCACAATGTACCACACAAATGCAGCGCTGGACAAGAAGTGGGTGTTTTGAATTAACGCACTTTGTATATTTAAAAATGAAGAAGCTGAAAAGAAAACATCACAGATTCCCGTCTCCCTGAAGAGAGGATGAACAGTAAGTAAACACTGAGATTCTCAGACAAAAAGGTGCCATGAAACTGCAAAGCATTGTTATTAATTAACATAGCTGCAAAATGTCAAGTTCCAAGGAGAGAAAAATCTTGGAGGCAAACATGAACGTCATTGTATAACATTTAGATTAAATGAACACTTCTCTTAAGGAAAACAAACATTGAATACAGCCTTTGATTTTCCAAATATGAGTAATACAATTCTATAGCCCTCGCCTAACACTTAGTGGTATTGAAAAAATTTCAGATGACCTAATAAACTAGATAGCTTCTAACAATATCCCCCCAAGCAAATGCATTTGTGATGTCAAACATAATTGCTCTTCATGTCATAACAACTGGATAACATAAATGTCATAGAAAGAATCAGAGGCAGGGAGATGCATTCACTTCCTTTTGAGTTCATAAACAGTGAATAAATTCTAGATAATAAAGCAGCTTGTGAAACAATGATTTCCCGTAAGTTATATTGGGGGTGGGAGGCATGGATGAGAATGATAAACATATGTATTCAATTTCTTTCAAAAAAAATTTGAGGTAGAAGTTCTAAGTATGTCAATTACCCCTACTATGTCGCAATTAGAGAGGAAATATGTGAAGAACTAGTTGTCAGCCCAATACTTACAACTAAAATAAGCCTTTTGACATGCAGCTTAATTATCTGTGTTTAAAATATTTTCCAGCTACGAATTTTATCAACTACAAGCTTGCTTCAAACATATGACATATGGCAGTCTTGGCTTCTTCCTCCATCCCCACCCCACCAAAAACAACAAATAACTAGAAAAATTGTTATGTTGATCCTTAAACACTCCATATAAGTCTTTGGGAATAAAATGTTTGAATGGAAAAATACTTTGGCCAACAGTTGTAAATCTTAACTCTGTTCCACGAGCACTATGGTTAGTGGGAAATTCCTCCATATTCTGGTAGTAGGTTAACCATTGTTCTTAGTTGTCAGAGATGGTGTAAGTTGTTAACATTTTGTATCTTTGAAAGAAATTATGTAATGGGAAGTGAAGGAGAAATAATTTGGCAGCTTGAATCGGTGTCATTTGCCTCATATCAACATACTAATGGGATATAAGATTAATATTACAAAAATTAAATTTCCATATGCTTCTAAATTTCTAACAAATTAGAACATACAATTCTCATGTATTTTGTGGCAGATTACTCCTATTTTCTGAGCTTGAGTATGTGATCACCTTTTGGTATCATTGTTTATGTTAAGCAATTACTTATATTTATGATAATAGTTAATTGTTAAGTCTTAATCGATAAAGGGTTTTTTTTAAAAGATCATGCTGACTCTTCCAGGATAAATAGAATGGCTCAGTAGCCCTAAAGTGGAAAAAAAAAAAAAAAAAAAAAAGGAAAATGAAAACACCTCAAAAAAGAATTCAGGAATGTAGGTCAAGGAGCATGTCTTTAGGAGAGAGAAAGGGAGGTAGGGTAAGTGGAAGCTGGGGCCCAAAAGAGGTATTCAGGTTGCATACGTATTACACATTTTATCCTGAAAGTTATATGCTCTCCATGAAAACTTTGTCTGACGATACAGATAACTTTGATCTGTATATTATTTGATAATTTATAAAGGAGTTTCATGTCCATTATCTTGAATTTGAACCTCATCAAGATCCTGTGAAACTGACATTAATCATTCTTATCAGAGAGGAGTTCATGGTCATACACTCATAAGTGACTCCAAAGAGTCTTAAATCAAATGTCTCTTTAAAAATAAAATGGGTGCATTTTATTGTATGTATACGATGTCTCAATACAGTTGACTTTAAAATGCAAGATCATGGAGTATTTTTAATGTAATCTTGTTTATTGTTCTGAGGGCGTCTTCTAACATTGCATTTATTTATTTATTCATATTTCTGATAGATCTTTTCTCCACAATTATTCTGTAGATATCCCTGAGGGAAGAGACTGTGTAATTCATCTTTGCATCTCCCATAACATCTAACACAAAGCACAGTACATTGGAGGTACGCTATACTATTGCTTTTACCAGTGGGCCTGAGGGCCAAGGAAAAATATAAATATGTGCACATGCACATGCATGCACATGTGCATATACACATAAATAAAGTCAGTGTGAAGGTGAAATATAGTCTAAACAAAATTCAGCAAAGACACCTCTGCACTACTACCGACCTCTTTAGTACGTCAGTGCTCATGATCGTCTTGGTTAATGTAATTAGAACTGGAGAAAGGGCTTGAAGAATTCAGAGCTTCACAGTTTTGGAGACAACATCTCATAGACTAAATATGTAAGTAATAAAAAATTAGCATATCCTAATCCAAGTGGTCTTGAGCAAATGGAAGATTTATTAAACTGCAGATTCTAACTTAGTAGGCACAGGGTGGGTCCTGAGAGTCTGCATTTCTAGCAAGCTCCCAGGTGATGCTGACATTGCTGGTCCACGGGGATCACGCTTTCATTAGCTAAGTCTTAGACTAGATACAGCGCTCTTTCCATTACGTTATACTCTTCTCACTCTTCTTCCATAGCTACTGACATTTGTACCAAATATTTTATCACTTAAATATGTCATATTTTCTATGCATTAATTTTTTCTGTTTTCTCACGTATATCACTCTTCAATAAAGCACCTGGTGAAGTTTTGTTGAATAAACAAACTATATTGTGAGAATCTAAAGATGACTGTCCATGTAATATGAATCTTTGATTTTCCAAACAGCTGGAGACATAGAATATATTGAATCTGAAAATTGAAATAAAAGAAAATTTTATAAAAATTGAGGTGATTATTTTGGCTATCCAGAGAACACAAGTGGTATTTATCCTGAACCATAGCGGAGAAGTAGGATGGAATTCAGGAAAATGGGAAGAGAGCCCTGGATTGAGAAGAGGCTAGGGGCTGAGGCAGAGTTAAAAAGAACAGAGGACACTTCTACGCCAAACTCAAGATTCTGAGGCACAGGAAGCTGAAACTCTCTACCTCTCACTATCCACCTGATGCAGTTTGTCACCTTTATCAATCCTGACAGCTCTAGTAAAGCAGTGAAACAGGATGTTAACGTCAAGGTCTCCGCCAAGATACCATGATACAATAGAAGCTGCATGCCCAAGTGAGGTGCCAGAGCAGCACACACAGTCTCCTCACCCATGGACTCTTCACCCAGGGTTCCTGACACCACTTGAAGGTTCCAGAACAGTATTGGGCCTGCCTGGGTCAAAGATTTCATCCAGGCACAAGGACAAAATTTACCTTGCTGTTTATTCAGCAGTGAGAGACACAAATAAGATTATGTTTTTCTTATAACCTACAAGTCATTTTTGTCTTAAGATTCCCTTTATGTAGTCGGGTAGTTTGGGTTGAATTTAAGAGGGTTGTCTTGAAAGCGTATTGGACCACTCGCAAAGATGACAAACAGGAGATGAAGGATGAGATTGTGATGTCACGGTCTCAGGCACAGGAAAGGGCTCCACGTCTTAGTGAAGTCAGGGAACCAGGTCACGCTGCCATCCTCACACTGCAGGCTGTAGAGACCTGGGAAGGAAGCCCATAGCTCTTGCCTCTTAGTCCACTGAGCTAAAGCTAATCAGAAGTTTGATTTTAAAAAATGTTCTGGTAGCTAACACTTTTTATATTTGTGACCTGGTTTTTCTACTTAGAATGGAAATCTTACTGGTTTAAAATGAACATACCCTTCAACTCACAAGATAAATTAGCCTTAGAAAGATATGTTGCCTAAAATGGAGAAATGCTAAAAATGTTTACATTTTATGCTTGTGTAATCTATTAGGTGCATTGTACAGAATGGTAATTTTCTTTCTCTTCGCACAGAAAAACAAAACATCTTGAAGACAAAGCAATGATAAACAGTTATTTGACAAGACAATATTGAAAAAAATAAATAACTGTGTCAATTATTTCAGATGTTTTCTGGACAAACTCAACTGTTGCTTTCAGTGGTTCCAAGTTACTACTTGAAATATTTATATATTTATCAGCTTGGATTTAGAGTTAAATCTAAGTTGATAAATTTCCTTTTAAGCTTCTATTTTCATACAGATATATGAAAAATGCAAATGTTCAAACACAGAAGTGTTACTTAAGGAAAGTGGACTTTTCCTGTACATTTAAGGTATCAGCAAGATGATTAAATATAACTGATCAGATTTTCCCATTTTCAGAGGAAATATGACTATTCAAGTCCTTACTTTCTCTATCAATATAAAATACAATAACTACTGCACATGTTGTAACTTATTTTGAAGACAATATACCATTTTGAAGGGAAAGACTATTTTGCTTAAGTTTCTTGGCTTGGCAGCAATATTGACCATCCCCCAAAACGTATTTCAACAAAATATACTGATGGAAATTCAAGAAAATGGAAAGTAAGACAAATTTAGACTTAAGTAGATTGAAATATTTTTATTAAAGAATGATAGGGAAAATTAACCAAGAATAGCACCTTTTCTAGTTTTTAATTATTTGGAATTGCAATACTAATTTAAAGAGATTTTACTGTATGCATCATTTTATGAATAAGATCAGATGGTTGAAGATAACCAGCTATCTTGTGGATAGCTTTATTTGAAAGTGTGTCCTTACATAAGAAAGAGAACAAAATATGAGATTTTATTTTATTTATTTATTTTTTTTGAGGAAGATTAGCCCTGAGTTGACATCTGCCACCAATCCTCCTCTTTTTGCTGAGGAAGACCGGCCCTGAGCTAACATCCATGTCCATCCTCCTCTACTTTATATGTGAGATGCCTACCACAGCATGGCTTGCTGAGCAATGCCACATGAGCAATGTCCACACCCAGGATGCAAACTGGCAAACCCCAGGCCTCTGAAGCGGAAGTGCGAACTTAACTGCTGTGCCACCAGGCCGGCCCCTAATTGGTTTTTTTTTCTTTGAAGGAACTTTTGATAAAATTTTCAATCCATTTTAATAAAAATAGGAACTTCTGAGTTTCTTTATGTGATACTCTGCTGGATATTATTAGGCATTCATAAGAAGCATTTGATATATCATTGATATCAAGACAAATATCTAGAAGAGAAATAAGGTTAACACAAGAAACTACAATCAAAATGCTGAAATCTGTAACATAGATTCAATAATTAATATGGAAAACAAGAAAGGAGAGATACTAGTGTGGGCTAGTTTGATCAAAAATAGCTTCTTTATAGATTAGTACCCAAATCACTGAATTTTTCTACTTCTGATCTGTTCTTTTTATAGATATGAATAATATATTAAACCTACTTTAAGTTAATTTTATCTTTCAGAGCTAAAGCTATTCTACCTTGATCAAAATCATCAAACAGCATAAAGTGAATCTTTTGTATAGGCACTACCTAGTTAATCATCTGATAAATATGCCATACTGCTTTGGAGATCTTAGACTTATGAAACTACAAATGCCTCTCCAGCTGTTGCTTTTCTAATTCATTAATTCAAGCTTGAAAATGACAAAGGAAATTCTGTACTAAATCATTTTAATTTACTGGATTCTCTTACTTTTGACTTGCTCGTGGGCAAAGCAATAAAGAATCTATGGAAGACACTTACAGCTCCTCTTGGGTGCCGCACTTGGCAAGCGCATCTTCAGTCTCCTGACTCAACTCCCACCTGTTCCTTACTTTCTATTCTTAAATTATATCATCTTTCTTCCTTCCTTCCTCTCCTTCCTTTCCTCTTTCTTTCTTTCCCTTCTCTCCTTCTTTTCTTTCCTTCCTTTCTTCCTTCCTTTCTCCCAAATAAAATACATGGCTGACTACTTTCAGAAACTTGGCTTTTAGAATTAGAAAAGCAGCAAAAATATCTCATAAAAATCACTGGATTTGAAAAGTACAAGTGGAGGGGCCACCCCGATGGCAAAGTGGTTACGTTCGCACGCTCCACTTCGGCAGCCCTGGGTGCACAGGTTGTGATCATAGGCACAGACCTAGCACCAGGTGTCAAGTCACGCTGTGGCAGCATCCCATATAAAACAGAGAAAGATTGGCACAGATGTTAGCTCAGCAACAATCTTCCTCAAGCAAAAATAAGAGGATTGGCAACAGATGTTATCTCAGGGCCAATCTTCCTCACAAACAAAAACAAAAACAAGCCAGTCCACTGGAATCACAGGATCTCTGAGGATAATAAAATGATAATTTAAAAAAAAAGAAGAAAGAAAATTACAAGTGAATACCAATTGAGATTCTTTCATTTACTAGCTGTGTGACTCTACCTGGTCCTGTCTTCTCACCTGTGTAATTAAAAGAATAAAAGTTTTTAAAGGCTTGATGTGAATATTAAATGATATTATATACCTGAAAACACTCTTGAAACTTCAAAATCTTATATAAATTGAGTAATTATTATTAATTGTATATGCCCCCCAAACCGATATTAATTGGCCCTAAATGACTATGATTTTTTTTAAGGTTCCACATTTGCCTAACAAAATGTCTGGAGTTGTCACTCTTAACTTTACATGTAAATGAAAGCTGGAGGGGGAAATGTCTTTAAGATTCATGATAAAACTGAAAATATTTTAACAGTGCTGTATAGTAAGGGCAACCTATTCGCTTACTAACGTATTAGGAGTGGGGGTTTTTTTAAATCAATTCAGAATAAAGAGTAAGACTCTGAAGGAATAAAATGGAAACAAGTGAATGTTGATGGAAGCGTGGAAAGGATGGGAAAGACCAGTGAGAGGAGTCAGACCGAGGAGAGAAGTCTGAGCACCATGAGAAGACTCAAGATTAAGGAACCCAAGGAACGAAAGGGAGCCTCCCAAAGACTCAGGCTTTGATTACATGCCGTCTCCTACAATATGTTGTCATTTCCTGTTCGATTATCTGTCTCCTTAATTAAAATGTAAGCACCTTGCTTACAAGAAAACTATATTTCCTAGCCTTGTGTTACTGCATATAATTGGCAAAGAACAACTGAGTAAATCAATGAAAAGTCTATTTCAATTTTCTTGAGACCTATCCTTCCATGCCTCTGT